GATCTGAAAGTTGAGATGATTGATCCTCTGCTTTTTCAACTAATGATGAACCCTGAGTTATCTGAGTTATCATTCAGTGACAAATTGAATTTTTCAATAACATCTCGGCCTAACAAAATTTTTGTAGCCTTTTTAACAACTGTTAAATCACAAAGTTATTCGACATTCTGGATAGTAACATAAAGTGAAACTTTACCCTCCGGAATGACAACTTCCCCTGAGTAAGTTTTCAAGCGTACATTTGTGCAATCTAATGGCAAATATCTTAAATTTTCTTGGTAAAATTTCAATGGTACACAGGTAATTCCAGCACCAGTATCTAACTCCCTGTAAGTTGACACTTTGTCTAGCAAAACAGGTACATATATTGGCTCAACAAAGTTAACATTTTCAAAATTTGGCAAACTAGAGACATTATAGAGAGGCTTCAAATCGTCTTCCTCCTCCACAAAATGACATTTCTCTATTTTCTTCTCTTTGCATGCTGCCAATATATATCCTTTTCTACTACAATTTCTGCAAGTAAACTTCCTGTACTTACATTTCTAGAAGTTATGATTCGTTTTATTACAAAAATTACATCTCAATTCTACTACCTCACTAGTACTGTGCTTCTTCTCCACCCTCTTATTTTGACTTTTACTAACAGTTGCCGAACCAGTCCCATTACTTCTGAATTTCTGTACCTTATTCACTTTAATATTACTGCTTTTGTTTTGTACTTTCAAGGCTGCCTCTTTGTCAAATGCGGTCTCCAAAAGCTCTTTGAAACTTCTCGTTGGTTTCTCCTCACAAAGTCTATCCAATATTGGTCCAGGTCTCATACCACAAGATCGATTTTCACTTGCTATCGTCCAACCCATATTAGGAATCAGATGTTGAAAGGTAATACATCGTTAATCCTTAGCTCGCACAAGTTGCGACTTCAGAGGGTTGTCGTTCGTAGGGGTGCGACAGCTGGTTAACGGAAAAACAGATTTTGAACAAATTTTTCCTAGACAGATATCATCGTTTGGATCAATGTTCAGCCTAAATTGGCTTTCCATAGTGTCCGCGAAAGCTGAGGCAGTATCTTCCGTTGAATAACGGATCCTCTCTTCTCTTTTTTTTTACTAATCTAACTTCTAACTGACTAACCGCCAGAGAGAAACATCTACGGGTTCCAAGCCCAGGAGAAATTCGTGCCAACGATCAGTTAAAGCAACTGATGACGCAGTTTCCCGCTTTGGCTCTGTCTCCTGGAAACAGAGTCCTGTGATATCTTTCTCTCAGACCATTTTTTTCTAATTAGAATTTCAATACGTGAAGAAAATTCATTATAAGATTTCATTATTTCCTCGTACTTTGTGGTAAACGCGGACAGAGCATTTTTACCTGTGACTGCTACGTCTAAGGATGCGGGTGTCTCGGAAGGTCGTTGAATGACGAGGATTGCTTCCAAGTACGCCTTGAGAGCTTTCCAGTTGCTCCTAAACATTTCGTTGTTGTTTTGTATTGGGGGACTTCCCTTAGGATCAACGTCACTGGATTGTGATCTCAGTCTAGCTCAGAAGTCACACGTACCAGTTGAGAGTTATGTTCCTGACAACTGCTATGTTGTTTCCAGCAGGAGAGCACTGAGTGCATCCGGCCGTTTCTGATTGTTAGGGGGTTACATACCGATATAATCTGAAATGAGTCTGTCTAATTGACCTTTATATGAAGATGGCAACGCCTTCTCCCTGTCAGCCGTTTCTGTCTTTTTTGCAAAAGACATAGTTTGGTATCATAATAAATATCCCTTGCAAGCGGGTCTCTTGTAGGAGCATGATATCTACGTCATGTTCTCTAAGAAAGTTCTTTACGTCGAACTTCTTCCGGAGTAATCCATTGGCATTCCAAGTAATAATCTTAAGGGAGTCCGGAACTATATAGCGTCTAGCCATCTAGTAACCGGTTGACGTAGAGCTGTTTGCCGCGAACTTCGTATGTAGTGCGGGAAACTGCGTCATCAGTTGCTTTAACTGATCGGAGGCCGCTCAAAGGCCGTCGACAGCGTTAGAGCTCTGGGTTGGTTGCTTATTGGCTTGAGCTGCACTCGCGCAGCTCCTGGTCGCGTAAGACCTCACGGGTCTTCTTGGGTCGGAGACTGATTGTCTTCAAGGGACGACAGACTGTCTCCGGGGGGCCATCTGTTCGGTGATACTTCGTGTTTTCTGTTCTCTAGGGAATGCAACTGTTTGTCTCGTTTGCATTTGGACGATACATGTCATCCACCAAATTTCACGCAGATGGGGATTGCTTTACAGTTCTTCTGCGTGTGTCCGAATCTTTGACAGCGGTAACACTGTCCTACAGTCGTTTCGAGAGCTCTGAGTTTCAGCTCCAACTCTTATATTCAAGATATCTCTCACTTCGTAGGTGTGATTTCGTATCTTCGGTACAAGCACAATAATTAGCACAATTGCTATTCGCTTTCTTCATGCGAGTGATTGCCACTAGATCAAAGCCTCTCGCTGTTATATCGTCTTTTTGTCTTTGATATTCAGTAATTCCGGAACACAACTCCTGAAGGTTTCTTTCCGGCCATACAATATGTATGGTGAGGGATTTTCATCGCTTCCGATAAGGCCAACATCTTTTTATAGTCCGGGATGTTGGCTGGCTGCACTTTTATGCCATAGGCAGTGTTGATGGCCATAGCAAAGCGGATTTTCTCACGGGCAGCTAGCTCTCGGAATTTCGTCCGTCTGTCTTTTTGCCTTATTGTTATAGGCGAAGGGTTTGATGGTCTTTGAGGTACCTGTGTCTCATTCTGGATCTCGGTTGGTTCTGGTACATTCCGAACCTGGGTCTCTTCTGATACCTGAGAGGTGCTAGTTCTAGCCTCTTCTGCTGGTTCGTTCCAGCCTTGGTTCGAACTTCCTTCCACATGGTCGGGAATTTTTGGTGTAATCAGCCATTTCGACGTTCTCGACTTTGCTTTCTGATTCGGAATCATTCTCCGATTCCGAATCTGAGCTTGTGCGCCTATTCCTTTCATAAGGGTTGCACTGGATATACGGCAGTTCAGGAAAATCATTCTTTTTCTGCCGTTTTGTCTTCTTCTGGGTTTCCATATTTTATTTGATTTCGTCAAACAAGCATGGTCGGCTTTCTAAACGTGCTTGCACAAAGTCAAAAAGGTTTATGATATCTGCCTTGCTATGGCTCAGAATCAGAGTAGCCAGTTCAGCCATACTGGTCATAATTATATCTGCAAGTATTGATACGAGTCTATATCACACAGTTCGCAAATAACACAAGTTAACAAATCGCAACTTACCTGTCAAATCTCACAAGAGAAAAATACACACAGTACTTCTGCACAACACAGAGAATCACCCACATAGCAATAGATATTCTAGGTATATTTCATGAATATACATTTAAGGATATTGTATTATGCTATGAATATGCCATGGATATATATATATCTTCTGGAGAATATTCCCTGGAAGTGCTCCTGGCGAACCTTTGATATATTTTAAGAATATTCCTTGGGAATATTCTTGGAATATCTTATAATATTCTTAGAATATCTAAGGTATATTCTATTAAGAATATTCCAGGAATAGAACCCGAGGAATATTCATAAAATATTCAGGATATTCTTAGTTTATTGTAGGAATATACAATAGAGAAACACCATAGAATATTCTTTAAATATATTTTATGAATATTCTAGGAATATTTGGAATATTCCAAGAATGTGACGAGTAACCGCTAT